TGAGTGAACTTTAACAGTTATTGCTCCGAAATAAATTTTTATTTTAATCCCATTATCCATGAACTTTATGAAGCACCTGGATTATTTGGCTTTGTTAAGTACAAAATAGGAAAATGGATAGTTAAATAATTTATTTTTTTAATTAATTTATTTTTTAATTTTATTTTTTATATTTAATCACCGTGTATCCTTATAGCATACCAAATGAATTTTCCCATCCTGAACACACTGCACATTGGTCCACTCAAGATAACTTCTGAGAACCATAAAGATATAAAGACAATGTCCAAAAATTTATGTAAGTTTTTTACTGTACAGAATAATTCTTTTTTTTTTTTTTTTTTTTTTTTTGAGAATTTTTGCTATAGGGACGCCACCTTCACCACGCCAGAAAGACAGAGAGATACAGTGAGACAGAAAGTGAGAAATCAGCCCCCAGGGGGGAAGACCATGCCACAATCCCTTCTCCTCCATTCTCCTCTTGGGATCTTGAGCACACATGCACATGCTCGGCGTGAGTTTAAGCCACCGGGTCCTGGACTTGAACTGCGGTCGACTACATGGGAGTTCAGCGAGATAGCCATTACTCTAACTGCTGGCCCCCAGAATAAAATTTTGACCAAGATGTATATTGAAAATTCCCCACTGTATACATTTTATTTTGTTTCTCCTTGATTCTCATTTAAAGATAAAAACTTATTTTTTTTTTACTTTTACAAAATTCTCCAAAAATCATTCAACATATATTAAAATTGTTTATGTATAATAAAACCCATTTATTTAGTGCTTGCTGTGCTAAACTTTGTGCTGAAAACTGAATATCTATTATTAGACCTTCCTATCTTCAAAACCCTACAAAGTAAACATTATTATCCTCAGTTTTAGATGAACATTTTTATGCTAGACCATTTAAATAGAACGAATAAGCCCATCACTGCAGTGGTTGGGAGACTCGGGACACACATCCAGGCTGCTAGGATCCCAGTGCCTTATCTTCAGCAACACACCACGCTGCCTCCCTGGGGCTTTTCAGCCATGAGGAAATCCATGTATTTGCTTTATTTCTTGAAATAGAATTTCAAGAAATGCTCTCGAGTGGTTTATTGGCCCAGGCTTTTTGCTCTGCTTCACTGTTTTGTCCCTCCCAGGGTTGTTTTTCTTGTTGCAGCTACTCTTCATCGAGCCTGAGCACAGACCTAATGAGAATAACTATTTCATGACATCAATTTCAAGAGGTGAATGGCATCCATATAAAGGTACGTAAATACTTCTGACTTTCAAAATGAGGCACACCACCGGAACACAGTTAATTGTTCATTAGCTAAATGTTACGCTCAATTTGTTATTAGAATGTTATTTGACTGGAGATCATTTTTTGGGACAAATTACCTATCAGAATTTAATTTAACAACTCTAAAATGAATTTTCTATGATAAGCTCTGATTTCTACAGAATCCTTAAAAAAATTGTGCTCTATGTTATTAAATATTTGAATTAACTGAAACACATAATAATCACCACATAGGTGATTTGCATTCATTTAATATTTTGTATGAATAAACATCTTGCATATCAAATAATTCTGCTTTTTATGAATGCATGTAAATATAGGTTAGTGAAAAATATTTTAACTGACTTAAATTTAAATAAATAAATACAATAAAATAATGTATATTCAATGTTAAAATTATATAGAGAACAGTTTCATCTCTCTATAATAATCTTCCTTGATTGAGGACAATCACTGAGGACAATAATTTTCAACATACTTCACTGTGAGCCTAGAAAGTATAAGGCATTTAACAGCACATCATCTCCACTTGGTAAGTGCTACATAAAGAAGTAAAAGAATCCATTAGTCAAAGAACCCTTGGGCCAGCAGGTCGTGTGGAGGTTAAGGTGGCTGGATTCCACCTGGCCAACTAACCAGTTTGGCCATGACTTGAAAATCATGTTAGGCACATGTGCATGCGTGCGGCCAAAAATCTCAAGAAGAGAATGGAAGAGGAGAGATTTTGGCATGACCATCCCCCAGGGGGGAGACTTCCCACTGTCTCCCCCATCTATCTCTGTCTCTCTCTCTCCTGAGAATGCATGCACACTATACCAAAAAAACTTTTAAAAAACATGATTTTAAAATGTCTGTTTTCTTCCTATTATCATAAGTAAGAAGTAAGTTTTATTATGGCTTCAATATTTTAGGTCATTGCATAAGATTAAAGTTAAATAAAGATTTCTTTTTGGTAATTTTAAAAATTTGTCTTAAGGAATCTATAGAAAATGATATTGTACTTTTAGTAATAGATAAGAATTCAAGAAATGTATCCACTCTCAGAAAGCTATTTTTCTTGGTTTTTTAATAAAATCTCTTTTCATTATACATGAGATCGAACCTATTTATACAAATTATAAGATTATGTCTTATTATAATTTGCTCTTGACTCTGAAAGTTAGGCTACGAATCAGAGATTATAGTAGTTTTAATAATTATTTTAAATGCCTCTTTAATATACACTTTAGATATGTTTATGAGTATGGCAGAGATCAAATTACAGATGGAATGTATATTGGTTTTAGAATAAAAGGTTTGAATTTGAATTTTAGCTTTGCCACAGAAGAACAGCAAGTGTCAGGTTAGTGATTCAAGTTTGCTAAATTTCATTTTGTAAGTCTTTAAAGTAGTTGTAAAACATAGATACATGCTGAGAATACCTTATCTTTTGAGGTTAAACACATTGGACAAATATTCCTATCTTATTTAATATAGGAATTGTAATAACTTTCTTAATATTTTTATAAATCCCTATTACTGGTTGAGCTGCATACCTTCCAAATCTATGTGCTGACATGTTCACTCTCAGCATCACGAAATGTGACCATAATTGTAGATACAGTCATTTTCTTTCTTTTCTTTTTTTTTTTTTTTTTTTTTAATTCATCTGTAGTTGTTACCATCTCTTTAACCAGAGTATGATTTGGGCCCACTTCCTTTCACAAGCCTCACTGAGTTATTTTTCCCGCAGCTTTCAACATATCCAAGTTGGCTTATAGTTATGTTCTTCTAAACACTTTTCTTTGGAAAGCATGCCCTGTGGAGAGTTCCTTCTTCAAGCTGTTTCAGCTTAACCTATTTCTAAAGAACTAGGACTAATATGTGCTGAATTGGTACCTACAGGGTATGGGAAGTTTGAAAAGTAGATCTTAGGATATGAAACTCAAAAGCATTTTAACAAATAATAATTCATTCAAACATCAAAGTATATCTCAGAACACTTCAATGACAACAGATTTGGTCTACTAAAAATTCTGACTTGATAAACATTTTAGACCACAAAGTCAACATCATGTTACATACATCTTACAACAAAAATTACCTTAATCTATTAAAACAGGCTAATGAGAAACTCGAAAAACATTACTAGCTCTGCTTTAGTGCCTATAGTATCACAGTTAGAAGTAGAAGGAAATCTTATCTTCCCCTTATGTATTTATTCTCATGTCTTATAGGTGTTTAAAATGTTATCCAAAAATAAAGAAAAATAAATCTTGAAAGTATAGGTTATTAGAGGAAATGAAGATGAAGTATCTAACACATACGTAAGTCTTTCTTCAGGTAGAGTTTTATCTTCTTCCTCCATGCGGACAAGTCATCATCTCCTTCGAAAGGTGACATTTCACCAGTCACAGTCGCACTGCTATCATCACAGTAGCGTCATTTTTATCAATACCTAGTTCTCATCCTGAAGATTCTGTTAGCATGAGTCTGGAGATCTTCCAGACTAAACCCAGAAGACAGGAGTGCAGTTTCATGAAGCAAGATGACCAGATCCTTCACAGATTTCTTGTCAGCCTCTGTCTTTGCCTTAATGTCTCAGTAATGGAAAGATCGTGATTGACCTCCAGGTGTTTCTTTGCAGCCATGTAACCTATTGTTGAGTTGTCTCTTAAGGCATGAGCTTTCTTGGTTCTCTCCATATTTGCTCTCCAGCCATATGTGCTTGTGACGATGCAGCAGGGGATGTTGCCAACCAGTTAGAGACAATTGTCTTCTCCACTTTTTCTCCAAGATATTGTTCATGACTTTCTAAATGTTTTCAAACATTGTTTATTTTCTCTTCCTGTTTATTCTCGTCCTCTTCATCTTCTGGAAGTTCTAAACCCTCTTTGGTGACTGACACTGAAGTCTTTCCTTCAAATTCCTTCAGCTGTTGGACACAGTATTCATCGAAAGTCTCAATCACATAGATCATTTCTAAGTCATGTTTCCGAAGACATTCTATGAGGGCTGAGTTAGCTGCTTGGTCCTTGGTCTCACCTGTGCTATAATAGACATGTTTTTGTTTTTCTTTTATTCTGGTGCAATAGTCCTTCAGGAATACCATCTCATCACCAGAAGCAGATATATAATTTCTGAAAGCTTCTTAGAATTTTGAGAGTCTTCTTGAATTCTAAGCTTTATAATTTTAGAAACTTGCTCATAAAATTTTTGCATTTTTTTTCTGCCAGTTCAGTAAAGAATTCTAAGCATTTTGGGACCAAATTCTTTCTGATAACTTTAAGAATTTTACTTGTTGCATATTGAGAGATATCTCCTCAGGGTGCACCATCCCTTTAATGAAATTCAGATATTCAGGGATCAATTCCTCACGATTGTCCATTATGAATACTCTGCGTACACATAATTTACTGTTGTTCCTTTTCTTCCTATTTTCTTTCTTTAAAAAAATATTTTATTATTATTTTTTCATACATTAAATCGCTATACATCATTTACATTGTGAAGAGACTTTACCCACCATGATATACACCTCAGTCCAGCCCAGTTGAGACCACCATACACATCCTTGTCAACCCACAAGTCAAAAGGACCATGTCTTGAAATGAAAAGATCTCTGAATTCCAACTGTCCTTTAACTGAAAAGTGCTTCACTGCCAAGTGGTTTTCCCAGTCATTGGTTAAACTCTTGTAGAATTCTTCATACTCTTCCTTTGTAATATCATCAGGATTTCTGGTTCAAATAAGGCTTTGATTTGTTAAGTTCTTCTAGATCAATGTACTTTTCCTTAATCTTCTTCTTCTTGTCAGTATCTTTCTTTTCTTCTTCTTCATCAGAACCAGCATTTTCTATTTCAAGTTTGTCATCAGACTCCTTTTCTTCTTTTTTCTTTCTCTTCATCTTTCTCTGCCTTTTCTTCAGCCTCATCACCACTAACTTCTTTATCATGCTCCTTCTCCACAAAAGGGGTAATGGGATAGCCAATAAACTGAGAATGTTTCTTCACAATCTCCTTTATTCTTCTTTCCTCCAAGTACTCAGTTTGTTCTTCTTTCAGATGTAGGGTAACCTTTGTCCCATGACCAAATGGGTTCCGCTGTATCTGTCCTAACTGTGAATGAGGCCCTGAAGAGGACTCCCAGGCATACTGCTCATCATCATTATGTTTGGTGACCCCAGTCACTTTCTTAGCAACTAGATATGCAAAATAGAAACCAACGCCAAATTGAACAAACATGGAGATATAAGCATCACCCTGCAAAGCTTCCATGAAAGTTTTCGTCCCTGACTTTGCCATTGTGCCAAGGTTATTGATCAAGGCAGTCTTAGTCATTCCAATCCCAATATCCACTATAGTGTTTGTATAGAATGAGATGAATGTGCAGATACTTCCCAGTATCTAGTTTATTGGGATTTGTCAGGAACCAACCTTGCTCATAGCTTGATCTGGGACTTAAGAGACTCCAGGACTGTGTGACACTATGCTGTGTGAGCCACAAAGTTGGTATTACTTTGACTTTATGTCACCTCCAACAGATTTAGTCTCAAAGGTTTTACATACAATGGACTTTTCAGGTCCCAATGCCCTGACTCCAGTGAATTACATTACCTATATTTTTTGTAAAAATGCCACATAGGACCTAGGTGATGACAACCTGCTTTATCCTGAAAAGCACTCATAAAATATTTGAAATGATTCAGGGGTTTAACTTGGCAGCCATGTAGACAACACAAAATTTAGTGTCATATCTCTCTCTTATTCTCAGTCCCTCATTTAAAAAGAATTCCTCATCTGTCTCATCTGTTACAGGTTCTAGACTTTAACTTACTGTGGTGTTTGCATCTCACTCTTACCCCAATTTCCCTCAAAAAATAAAATGTTCCCAGTATTTCCTTCTAAGTTATTTCCCATAAGATCTTTTTAACATATTGCAATCCCAACATTTCATTATGCAGAAAATTTGACATTCCATTAGGGCCTAGTTTCCATTAATTAAAAAATCCATGGGTTTTCCCCAGAGCAGTAAGAAGTCTTGATGATAATACTTTAAAATATCAGCTTTTTGTTTCTTCTTCCTTCACAAATAGAAAAAGAATAAATAAAAATTTACTCTCCCATTCTTCATCATTTGTGTCTGAATACCTGTGTTTCTTCTTTCACTCTTACAAAATACTTCAATGTGCTGTTGTGAGGGCTGAATATAAAACACCTTTCTCAGTGGCTGACACGTAAAAGGTAGATAATAGATGTTTAACGAAATAATTTGTTGATTAACATATACCTTGTCAGTTAATAAAATTTTATAGTAGAGATAATATTTAAATCACCATCGAAGAATAACTAGGGAATTTCCAAAAAGAGACCACGTAGTACATCATAATAATAAAAGGAATGAAAGAGCATAGGATTTACAGAATTATGAGAAGGTAAGATTTTAAATGCACAAATGTGTTGATGACCATATTAATCTGTTCTGGGGTTCCATAAGTATCACTTAGGATTCCTTTAACAAATAGTTTTTCTGCCCCACTTTTTCAAACAAATTATCTCTCTCTTTTTTTTTTTTTTTTTTTACATGGTTAGGCTGAAGATTTCGCAGATCTTCCAGTTCTGGTTCCTTTTTGCTTACCAATTACTTCTTTGGTTCAACTGTCTGTTTTGGCTACTTCAATAAGCAATAGAGAAGAACCAAGCCAAAACTTTAATACATTGCTTAGAAATCTCCAAGTTCTGCCCCACAAAGCACTAGAACACAATTCAGGCAATGTCTTTACTACTTTATAATAAAAATCAATCACCTTTTCCCTAGTTTCCAGTAACCTGTAACTTGTTTTACCAGAATGACCTTTGGTATCTATATTTCTACCTACTGCCCTTTCATAGCAATCTTGGATTTTTTTTTTTCTAGCAGGAGAGATAAAACCTCTTTTAGCTTCTAACTATCCCCTAGTACCAAAGCCACTTTCACATTTTTAAGTATTTGTTATAGCAGCACACCACTTCTTAGTACCAAAATCTGTATTCATTAGCTTGGCTGCTGTAACAAAAGAGTAGTAACAAACATTTTATAGTTCTAAAAACAATATCACAAAGGCAAAGTTTCTTGCTCAACATTCCTTGAGCCCAGCTATGGAGAAAAGGTGTTATACACAAGAACTACCTTACATTGATCCTAAACACAGTGGTTCTATTTCTTTATAGAGGAGCTAAGCATAAGATAAAATAGTCCTTTGTTGATTACAAAAGAGCACTGTCATACTGTTAATCCTACTGTATGCCTCCATTTTACCCAACTTATCATGAGAAAGTATTTTTATTTGGTAAAAATTTTCCTGTATTCTTGGCTTCAGTTAACCATCACAGTGATGTGTCACTGGGTTAAGTAAGGTCAATAACAGATGAGCAAAAACTGCACTTTCTATTACTGCTTTTATAGAAAACAATTGTCAGGTATGATCCAATGCCCAAAGGAGGTCAATGATACTGATTCTTGATAGAGATTGTTGACATAAACAGTCTAATGCAGTGTTTTCCTTAAAAAGCTAATTACTTCAAAATTTCAAACTTTGCCATGCCTCTCTATTTGTAATAGGACACAGAAATGGTTTATTACCTGTTGATGATACTATGTATAGTATTCTCAATTGGACTGGTCTGAGGAATATTACATGTTAAGTAAATTATCTTTTAAAGGCAAATGATATATAGTGAGTGAATGCTTTAAAAATAAAGAGAATAAGTAATAATAATAATAATCTGAAAAAAAAGAAGAAATGCTATTCGATGATGATGATGATGTGAATAATAATGTTTTTGTCTTGACTGATATGCATGGTAATTATACTGGAAAAGAAATATAATACAGTCTAAAGATAAATGTGATTAAATGTAATATAAACATTATGATAATAAAATTAAATTTAAAAACTTTTAAAACGTTCTAAAAATTATTATTCATTACTTAAAGTATCAATGAAATAATTAAGGATCTTTATAAAATAGCATCTGAGTTCATCAGAATATTTATTTATTTTAGAGATTTTTGCCTTAGGGCATGTACAATCACTCAAGACAGAAAGAGAAAGAGAGAGATAATGAGAGAAAAAGTGAGAAATCATCCCCCACGCCACAATTCCTTCTCCATTCTCCTCTTGGAATCTTGGACACATACACACACATGCCCAGTGTGATTTTTCAAACCACCGGGTCCAGGACTCAAACCATGGTCAGTCAGGTGGGAATCCAGCAATCTAATTACTATGCCATGTCCTGACCCCCCAGAGTGTTTATTAAATATTTCCTTTCACTAATTACTATGCCATGTCCTGGTCCCCCAGAGTGTTTATTAAATATTTCCTTTCATTCTTTAGCATGAGTTTCTTCAGAAAGGGAACTGTAAAATTATTTCACAGCACCGTTTCTGAACTATGCTCTGTAGACTGGCAGGGTGTTGTTATCCATCTATGCCAATATAAACTAAACACAGATAGATAGGAGTATAGATACACATATGGATATAACTCTTATATTTATGTTTTATGACTATATATAATTTTGTGAAATTTTTCAAACAGCTTCTCTTGGAGAAAGCTGTCTTTTTTCTCCCTTTCCAGGATCTTAAGTATTTAAATTCTTCTGAGATAAAGAAGGTAAAATAACTTGTTATAATAAAATCATGAAGCTCATTAAGATTTTAGTTTTAGTATTCTCACTTACCAAATATTATTTTGCATTGATGTATCTAAATTTTAATTAAAAATGACTTTCCAAATTGTGAGAGTTATTGCTAAAATGAATAATGTCAAAGATGTGAGAATATATTTTTATTGGTAAGTCCACACAGAGTTAAGTGTGTGTTTTAGTTTTAAAGAAGTGCTAATCATAAGGGAAAACAGTGTATAGCATACACACCAGCATAAATGAGGATTTCTTATGTCTTGATATTTCCAAATTTTATTCCTTTTCTTCAATGAAACATTCAGTCCATCTGGACCTTCTAGGCTATGATCAGTTCTCTCTATCACATATGAAATTTTAGGTTCAAAAAAACACAGAATCTTTCACTACTCATTTGCAGAACCTAGAATTTCAAATCTCAGTATATGCCCTTGGTATCAATGGGGAATTGATTCCAGGACTAGTAAGGGCAACAAAATCTGTAGATGCTCAAATCTTTTATGTAAAATGGGGTAGTATTTGGATATAACCTACACATACCTGCTGTATACTCTAAGTCAGTTTTAGGTTATTTATAATACTTCATATGATGCAAATTCTATGTAAATAAATGTTATCCCGTACTGTTCATGCACTAATGACAATAATGAAAAGGTCTCTACATGTGGAGTCCAGCTGCAACCGTTGCAGTTCTCACCGCATAGTACATGTTGGCAAGAACATGAGAGTTTTGATCCATGCTTTGTTAAAGCAACTCTGATGATGGAACCTGCAGATTAAGAAGGCTAACTGTATTCCATGGGGTTTAGTTGGAAACACATGATTTGAGATAATTTTACAAGGAAATCCACTGATGGAAAACTGCTTACTGGAGTGTATAAATGTGCCAGGATCGAACTTGGTACTTTTACGTTGTTATACTATTTCATTGTTACTTGAACTCAGCTATTATAATGTCCTTTAATAGGAAAACTGAGGCTTAAAAGTTCAATTTATTTATCCTTATTTAACCCAAGTTCTAACCATAAGAAATTCACTGAGCTGGAAATCACACTCAGAGGTGCTCTTCCCCATGTCCATTCAACATGAAAATGATTTTTCTATAACTATCATGCTCTATCTCATTGGGTCCAGATAGGTTAATATCACAGAAAACTCATTTATCTAGGTGATATGTGATAACATCCTGTAACTTATATTTAGAGTTGTTGCAAAATAATTTGACTGCTTGGAAAAAAAGTTCAAATTTACTAGTACTAAGGAAACACCAGTATTTGAGGCAGATTCAGTAATGCCATATATTTATGACATGCAAGGCAATGCTAAAGCTTCTGCAATCCACCTAAATAGAAGCATTGTGCAATGAATATCAAGTAAGACATCGATAAGATTGGCCTTACCTTCTTAAAGGATACAGCAAAGGAGCATACAGCTGTTTCTCAGAGCCATCCTTTCCCTAATTAGCTTCTCTAATTGTTCAGTTTGTTATCACTAGTGCTTCTGGACCTAGGAAGTCTGAAACCTCAGAGGGACAAAATCGAGTTGAGAAAGGGCATAACAAAAGTCAGCAGATTGGGGCAAATGGCGATTCAGCAATGACACCCTCTCTGAGGCCGACCTACATGGGTGTGTTTCAGGTTCACATCCAGAGACCTCCTAGAAGATGCTGGGTTGTGTGTGCCTATAATCCTAGGCTCGATGAGGGTGGGGGTAGGTCATATATGAGGACTTCCATCTCTTACTTATAGAAACAAGACATGGGTAGACTTTGCAAATGAAAGCAGCAAATGGATATTCAAATCAAGATATCAAATTAGATGAAATTACACTATGAGACAAGGGGAAATTCCAGGACTTCAAATGAGATCTGCGACAAGTGGAACAGAAATAAACAAAGTAAGGGAAACAAACGTGTACATAGGAACAGATCAGGGAGAGGTGGGGGAAAAGGACAGAGTACTCAAGGAAGGAAGTACTTGGCAATTCAATCTGAATCTGAAGATCTTATGTTCTATAACATCTCTGGATTCATTATGTCTCCTACTGTGGTTTGTATAACGGCTTCATAATGCTTACTTTCCGTCTCTGCAAGGCCTCTGCTTCTCTGGCTTGGCCATTGTCAGAAGGAAGATGTGGCATTTTATGACTTATGACTCCTCTATTTCCTTCTATCTGTAAGGCAGCTGGTGCTCCAACTGTTTCTCTGGCAAGCCAGCTCCTCCTGATCAGCTTTGCTTCACTGAGGGTTGTTCCTGTACCACAAGGTCTCCTGTATCTACTGCTTCCATGTCGTTCTTCACATCCAACTTATCAGCTATTTGATGAGTAGACACATGTTCCCCTGAATTACCAAAAACAGAAAACATAATACTATCTATTAATATGCATATACATAATGGTACTACATGTCACTCACGTCGTGATATGCAGCAATCACATACTGTGAGATTCACTCATCAATCTTCAGCAGCAGATATAGTGCATCTTACTGTCTAATCTTATTTTGGCCCTTATATATGCTCATTCTGAATTGCTCTTCCCTGGGCATGCCAGGGAGGTCATTTTGAAACAGAAGAAGAAAGGAGAGGGTCACATGGAGCTAGGGATGTAAGAAGCATTGCATTTCTCAGCCCTCCACACCCTTTTATTTATTTATTTTTTTAGAGGTGTTTGCTATAGGGTGTGTGCGCTCACCAGAGAGACAGAAAGCGAGAAGTCACCCCCCAGGGGGGATGGCCATGCTGCAATCCCTTCTCTCCATTCTCCTCTCAGGATCTTGGGCACGCATGCACATGCACCCGGCGTGAGTTTTAAGTCACCAGGTCCAGGATGCGAACCGCGGTCGACTACATGGGAGTCCAGCAACATAGCCATTACGTCAACTACTGGTCCCTCCACACCCTTTTTCAGACCTCCCTTCACTTTTAGTCTCAGCCTGGACTATCTCCACCAAAGGATATTGACAAATCTTATGTCTTTGGCCTTAAATAATTGGGCCTATCTCATCCCTGCCCATGCGTAAGCAGTGTTGACCTAAGGAAACTTTCTAACTCAGCCTCTCCTCACTGCAGCCCACCTGGAGAAGTTTCCCCCTCATTTGTTTCCTCTCGTAGTTTTGTGGAAGCCTCTATCATGTCCTTAGCACAGTTAGTAATAATCATATTTACCTGTTGTTTTGCCAGTTTGCAGAGTCTGAGGTATAAATTCGTCTTTATATATATAGATACAAATGCTTTAGAATAAGGCATGGAAGATGAATTTGTATATAAATTTGTGTTCAACCAGTGGGATCTCTTTCTCTCTCGTGCACACAGGTTTCATAAAGCTTCTGTATACAATGAACCAGGCTGGTACCTTATATGCTTGACCTTTTTGTGTCCTGCTGTTCAGAGGTCCTTGAGACCCATGCCCCAGTGAAGACACAGACTCTGCACAGTGTAGTTTGAAAATAAATGCTTGGTGATGGCTAAAGTCTTACTCTCCATGACTTTGAGTCAACAAAACAGAGTTCCATGATTGGGAAATATTCATCTGTTGTTATCTTTATTACCTGACCTGTATTTACATTTTTTATTCCACCTTTCTGCATAGTTAAGGACATTTTGTTATTAAAATATTACTTGTAAGTGTGTAAATGGTAATTCTATTTTTCTTAGTTTATGTATATTGATACAAGTTTACGTGTTGGGTTTGACTTAAAACAATGTACAACTAATCACTCAGGAGTAGCTTCCAACAGAAGGTAACATTTCTGAAAGAAATAAAATGACATTCTAAAATAAGTCCTAAAAGTTCACCCTATAGCCATGAAAAATACGAAAAACAGGAACTAAGAAAAAAAAGCATCACTAAAGTATTATAAATATTATACTACTACAGTATATTCCCCGCTGTCTAATCTTATTTTGTCCCTCATCTGCAAAACTAGTCTAGAACAGCGCTTTTATCAAAGTTGTGGAGTGTGTTCATTCATTTTTATAGCTATTTGTATCACACTTTCATCATTCGAAACATAACACAATCAGTCTGTGAAACAGAGTTAAATTTTGCATGCAAAGCCCCCTGATATATGCAAAATCATCAAACATTGAAGCCCATTGGGTTAGTGTTAGAAACCTAAGGAGGAATGTGTTTGGAACTTTACCAAACCAATAACTTAAAAAATGCAGCTTAAAACACTTGTTAAAGTCGTAATGTGGGTTGATATGCACGGCCTTAAAGTAGTGTTTTGTATTTACTGGATGTTTGGAGAGATCAAAGCCTTCTTCACCAACCTTCCCAGTAATGTTTGAAGCTTTCTTTGAGGTAGAGGTCTGGTATTTCTTGGTTATTTTTTCAGCTAAAATCACATGCAAAAACAATGACTTATATTAGTAGCATATTTAGAATCTTAACGAGTGCTTCCTAACATTACATTCTACATTTTAGGCTTTGATACAAACCATGTTTAAAATATTGAAATGATTGTCTTACTTTTCGAATGCAGTTTGCCAGTATTTATTGCACACCTACGCAGTGCAGACATGGAAGTAAGTATGAAGCCTGTCGGAATAGTAAATTTGCAACTCATTTTTCAGAATGCTTTGGCAAAATCTTCATTTTTTTCCTCTAATTTTGTACCTTAATTAGTAAAAATCTTTGCCTTTATTATGTATCTCAAAACATACCAAACTTGACTGAGTAGAAAGTTTAAAACTTAAGCTTGACAAGCGCTTGTTTGACTACCACATGTTGTAAAGAATAACGTTTCAGATCAGAGGTGACTAAAGACCTCACAAATGAATGTTTACCCCATAGGACATGAGCCCCTTGAAGCAAACAAACTTAAAATGTGTAAATATATATATATATATGTGTGTGTGTGTGTGTGTGTGTGTGTGTGTGTGTATATATATATAATTTTTTTTTTGGTGAGGTTTTTGCTATAGGGTGAGTCAGAGAGAGACAGAGAGACAGAAAGTGAGAAATCACCCCCCAAGGGAGATGGCCACTCTACAATCCCCTCTCTTCCATTCTCCTCTCGGGATCTTGGGCATGCATGCACATGCGCCTGGCATGAGTTTCAGCCCCTGGGTCTGGAACTCGAACCATGGTTGACTACATGGGAGTCCAATGACGTGGTCGACTACATGGGAGTCCAATGACATAGCCATTATGCCAGCTGCTGGTCCCTAAATACTTGATAATTTAGCATCTTTTTATTTTCCTTTTATTTAAAACAAGGTCTTGTTATCTAGTAATCTTTCTATTCAGCCTCCTGACTGGGGACTATAGTCACTTGCCGTCACACTCCATAATCTCCAGACAGGATCTCACTGTTTCTAAGCTCATCCTCTAGCTCGCAGATCCTCCTGCCTCAGCCTCCCTGTCTCTGGGATTACGAGCACACACCACCACACTTGGCCTTTATGTAACACCAGGAATCAATGAGGCCTCAGCTTGCAGAAGGAGAGGCTCAATGCTTACTGTAAGAAGCCTGGGGCCAGCCAGTGCCCAGCAGTAACCAAACACTGTGCAACGCTGGGCCCATATGGGAAGGTCCCAGGTTCATGTCCTAGGGCCTCTCTGTCTACATCAGGTACACACATGCCTGTGACCCGGGATGAGGTTTGGGGTGGATTGCAGCATAAAGTCCATGTTGGGGACTTCTCTCTTTCTCTTTGATCTTTCTCTCTCAGAAGAAATAAATAAGGGTTCAGAAATTAAACATAGTTTACAATAAAAGTAGCAAAACTGGGAATTAGTAGACAGGTTATTCCTGCCA